GCTTTCATTGATTTATTAGAGAAAGAGAAAGAGAACAAACTCTGGTCTGCTAGTTCACTGCCCAGCTGTACTCAACAACTGGTGTGAAGTTAGCCAGAACCAGGGGCCAGGAGCGTAGTCCCATGGGTGGCAGAGATTCAGTGATTTGAGCCATCATCTGCTGCCTCCCAGGGTGCACTGCAGCAGGAAACTGGAATCAGGAGCAGAGATGGGCTCAAACTCAGCTACTCCAGTGTAGGACAAGGGTGTTCTAACTGGCACCTCCACCAATGCACAAATGCCCGCCCCCTGTCTGTATTTAATAGCTGACTAGGATTCCTCCAGAAATACAATCTTTGTTGGATAATGTCACTAAACCCCTTCTATTCCCTTTTGCTTTTTAACCTAAAGAAATATCTTATAGGCATGCCAGCCTTCATATGATTTAGCACATCTTTTTTTCAACTGTAATAGACAAATTAGGGTAGCATTGCAATTGCAGGGGCCAGACTTGTATTAGCAGATATTCCCCTGCATTTGCAGTAGCTGTCCTGACCATTGGGAGGGGCAGTGATGCAAGGGAGGTGAGTCAAAGGCCCTCACTTCCTGCCCAAGGCGGTTGGCACAAGGAGGGAACAAAAAGTCAGTGTAACTACAGTCCTTCCCCAGGGTTTTCAAACTGAGTGTGCAAGAGATAAACTTTATTTTTTTAAAGTAATTAATTTGAGAGACAGAGATGAGAGACAGACAGAGAGAGAGAGAGAGAGAGAGAGAGAGAGAGAAATGCTGCCTTCTGCTCTTTCACTTCTTAAATACCTGCAATGGCTGGGGCTAGCCTGAGGTAGAAGCCAGGTACCAGGAAATCAATGCAGATCTCCCATGTGGGTAGCAGGAACCCACGTATCTGAGCCAGCACTGCTGCCTCCAGGGTCTGCATTAGCAGGAAGCTGGAGTCAGGTGCCCGAGTCGGAAGTTGAGCCCAGGCACTCTGATGTGGGATGTGAGCAGCTTAACCATCAGGGCAAATCTCCACTCTGAGAAGCTTGCTTGCTTTTGCAATTAGAATGCAGTGTGTATGGGTAAGGCTGCCAGGAGCTATCTTTCTAGCCACACAAGGAGACCGAATCCAACATCCAGAGAAGCAGAGAGAGAATGAGAGAGGGAAGCCAGTGACAAAGAATCACTGCCTCTAGCATCCCCAGATATACTTGTGTCCTTTACGGTTATAAAAGCTAAAAAAGGCCAGTGCTGCAGCTCAGTAGGCTAATCCTCTGCCTTGTGGCGCCGGCACACCGGGTTCTAATCCCGGCCAGGGCACTGGATTCTGTCCCGGTTTCCCCTCTTCCAGGCCAGCTTTCTGCTGTGGCCAGGGAGTGCAGTGGAGGACGGCCCAAGTGCTTGGGCCCTGCACCCCTTGGGAGACCAGAAACACCTGGCTCCTGCCTTCGGGTCAGCGCAGTGCGCCGGCCGTGGCAGCCATTGGGGGGTGAACCAACTGCAAAGGAAGACCTTTCTCTCTGTCTCTCTCTCTCACTGTCCACTCTGCCTTTCCAAAAAAAAAAAAAAAAAAAAAAAAAGCTAAAAAAAATTCCCCCCAATAACCTTGTTTCTTTTTATTTTTGTTTAATTTGGATTTTTGACACTTGCAACCAAAAAATATATGCTCTACTATGGACTGATTCCAAAATGTAAATCTTGGCGAGCAATTTCATTTCTTATTGTATCACGAAGTTTGGAGAACAAACATCATTCTGTCACTCAACACACCATTTTCCTTCTTTCTTGTCCTTGGGCACAGAAGCCCCTTCATCTTCCAAGTCTTTTCTGATCCTGCTCCTTGGAATAACTTGTCCCAGCTATTTTTTAAAAACTTATTCAAGAGGTTGAGAGAGAGATATGGAGAAAAAACACACTCCCATCTGCCCCTTGGAATAACTTGTACAAGGTTTTTTTTAAATTTTTTAAATTTATTTGACAGGTAGAGTTATAGACAGTGAGAGAGACAGAGAGAAAGGTCTTCCCTCCATCGGTTCACTCCCTAAATGGCTGCCATGGCCGGCACTGTGCTGATCCGAAGCCAGGAGCCAGGTGCTTTCCTCCTGGTCTCCCATGCGGGTGCAGGGCCCAAGCACTTGGGCCATCCTCCACTGCCTTCCCGGGCCACAGCAGAGAGCTGGAGTGGAAGAGGAGCAACTGGGACTAGAACCCAGCACCCACATGGGATGTCGGTGCCGCAGGCGGAAGATTAACCAAGTGAGCCATGGCGTCGCCCACCCCACCCAAGTTATTTTTTAAAAATTTACTCAAGAGGCAGAGAGAGAGAGAGAGATGGAGAGAGAGAAAACACATTTCTGTCTGCTGGTTTATTCTCCAAATGGCTGCATTGGCTAGGACTGGGCCAGGCTGAACCTGAGATCTGGGAACTCCATCCAGGTCTCCCACGTGGGTGCTAAGAACCCAGTTATCTGAGCCATCATCTCTGCTTCCCAGGCCCGTAACTGGCAGGAAGCTGGAAGCCGGAGGGGCGCGACGAATCCAAGCCAGGCACTCGAGTGCGGGATGCGGTGGTGTTTTAACTACGAGGCTAAATGCTACCTCTAGAACATCAGCTCCACAGGCGCAGCGCCCTCTTCCGACTCTCCCTGGCACACAACATTTGCAAAATGCAAAATGGACATCTCAGCGCAATCGCTGCTGAGCTGTTACCGCGATGACAATCTAACATAACCTGGGTACCTTTTCATGTCACAGTATGTTTTATCCTCAACCACCCTTTGCTTTTTCAAAAAGTCTCTCCGACACAGACCAGAGAGACCCTGGCCGGCTGTCAGAGCAGGGATTCTGCTGTTCAGAGGGCCTCCCACAGAGACAGTTGCCTGCTATCCCGAAGAGTCTGAAGCTAAACCTCTGGAGTGGTGCGGGAGCCTGGGAGACCTTGCAGAATGGATCAGTTGCTGCAGTGCTTTTGTTAAGACACTAGGTGGCGGGTGACTAAGTTCTTGGATACAAACAGGCGTTGATTGGTATTGCAGCGGTAATTAGATATTGGATAACTTCCTCTGTCGATATTACATGTACGGGAATTTTGATCACGCGATAGGATGATAAGAATTACAATAAGGGCTTCTGCCTTGGTCTGTGAAGAGTGAGATAGATTCTGAAAAACTGCTCTTCCAGATTCACAAAGGAAATGTGCAACATGGGAACATTAAAACACAGAGGTAGAAAGACTCCTGTCAGGGCCAGGGCACCCCCAGGAGCGATATCTTTAGGTCACGAAGCTTAAGTCACTACTTTCACTGTAATAACATCCCTGTACCTTTTGGATTAATAATTGAATTTAATAAATAATTGATTGCATCTTTCTCTTTTCAGCTTAAAGAATACTGAGGAAATTAAAAATTCCTCTCATATTTAAACAGATCAGAGAATGGATTACTTCCAAGGTCACCTTGAATGCAGAGCCCTGGGGATAGAGGGCATTTATTTTCTGCCCTGGCCACAAGAAAAAATTGGACAAAGACTGCATCTCATCACAATAGATTCTAATAAATATATTTCCTTTCCATTTTGTGGTCTTTGAAGCGTGCTCATAAAGAAAGTAATGAGAGGGGGATGGTAGTGGAGGGAGGCACCAGGGAAGAAAGAGAGAGATGTTGAAGGGGAATGGGAGGGAGACATTCAAACAGGAAAGAGACCAGAGAGAGGAAGTCAAAGGGAGGAGGCAGTGAGAAGCAAGGGTGGTCATGGCAGAGAAAGTCAGAGGGTAGAGGAGGAGCTGGGAAGTGGGATCAAAAAATAGAAGAAAACCAGGAAGAACACCAAGGGAGACCAAGCCCAGAGCAGGAGGAGCAGGGAGCGGGGATGAGTTGGTTGTGAGGCGTCTTCATTAGTGGTTGTTTCTCTAGGATCGTTTGATCTTCAAACGTCAGGAGAAACCATCACCCGTTGCATGAAAGTTAATCCATACATCGTTCTTTACTGCTTGTAACAGTCCCAATCCTTAAGCCTTGAATGCTTTCCTTTAAATGAGTGTGAATGAGCTCTGCAGACCACAAGAAGCAGAGAGAGGCTCAGGGTTACTCAGAGGGTCAGCTGCATAGAAAGGAGATGTGGAGGAGGAAGCAAGTAGGAGCCATGTGTAGCCAGAGCATTCAGAAAAATGGGAGCTGGCAGGTCTCATGGGTGAGAACACAGTTCCAGCCTCCAGGAGCCTTGTCGCCAGGTTAGGATCAGACAACTGCTCTTCGGTTTTGCTCCATCGCTATCAGTTCACTTTTCACCTCTGCTTTTGTTGCTCTTACTGTTATTGGTGATTATCTCTCTGTCTCCGAATTCAAGCTTCCTATATGTAGAGTCCACGTTTAGTCCGTTGTCATCCATAAATTGACCTTACAGGGAAGAGCTCCTGCTTGAGGCTATCTCTAAGATTGTCTGGCCATGGGTCAGGTGCCCATCATGGCTCCAACACCTCTGATTGAGGTGAAAGGACCATGTGGTACCAGGCACATGTGACATCTTTTCTGTATTAGACTGTGTGTTTGCCAAGTATCTGCAAAGGGAGGCCCTCAACCAGCCTTGGTTGTTGAGACCAATACATTCCACCCTTTGTACACCAAGCATATTCTACTTTTCTTCTTGGACATACAGCCTCAATAATACCCATGCAACCTTAATAAACCCAAAGTCAAGTCTATCTACTGCATTCAGAAGCAATGATATATAACACGTCAAGATTACAGGCTGAAGTCAACAGCCCTTGAGTTTTTTTTTTTTTTTAAGTAAAAGCCCAAGCCTAATGAAGCATAATGTGGGATATTGAAGAAAGAGAAGGGGCAAGGTGGGAATTGTATAAATCCTTTGAGGAAAGAATGGAAAGAAAAAGGAAGGGAGAAACATTTTCCTTCGGCAAGAAAGAGAGAGAGAGGTTTGTGGGGTTTGAGATCTATGTCTCAAGGGAAGGAAAAATGTCAGAGGTGGTGGTGAGGGGGTTATTCCAGCCTCTACAAGCATTTCGGTACCTGCCAGATGGAGACTGGACTTCCAGATATTAGAGTTCGAGGGACTGAGGCTTAGGAAGTACAGATCCAATGTCCTCCACGATGGCCCCCAGAAAGGCAGATGGAGAGGATAGGTGGTCCCGATCACCACATGAGCCTTCCCAATCTCATCAGACCCCAACAGGCTGCCAGCTCCAATGTCACCCGAGGTGAGTTGTCAATTTCAATTTCTCTTTGTTTACATGTCTGCTCGAATTCATCTTCTTTTTGATTCTGAGAAAATGAAGAAATGGATATGTCTTTATTCCTGGAGAAATGTGTCATACCATGTGCATCGATTTGAGCCCCGGGGGCTGACAGTGAATGAAATCAGTCTGAGAGCAGATTGGATCACTAATCACTGTACCCCCTTCTCTTTCATCCCTTGAATGAAGCTGGGTCTTGGTCGAATCATGGTTTTCACATCATGCGTCTGTCCGACAACTGGAACCTTCTCCATAAACATAGCCATGCTCTAAAAGTGTCACAGAGTTTTACTAGTAATTGTATTAGTCAAGTTTCTCCAGAGACACAGAACATGACATAAGCAGATTAGTGAGAAGGAACGAGTTCACAGGATTATGGGGGTAACAGATCTACAGTCAGAAGCGGGACTCCCAGAACAGCCAGTGCTGTGGTTCTAGCCCATGTGCAGTGAGCTAAGAGCCAGGAGGGCCCCTGGTGTGGGTCCATGGGTCCAGCTTGACAGTTTGTGGGCTCAATACCCAAGGAGACCCAATGCTTCACTTTGAAAAAATCCACCAATGTCCAGCTCAATGAAATCAAGAGGAGCCTCCTCTTACTGGAGTGAGGGTCAGCCTTTTATGTTCTATTCAGCCCTTCAGCTGATTGGATGAGGGACACACACACTAGGGAGGCCAAACTGCTTTGCTCTGCCCACTGATTCAAATGTTACCATCACCCAGAAACACCTGCTCAGACACATCCAGAATGTTTGACCAAATACCTGGGCACCCCAGGCAAGAGGAAGCACACTGCGGATTGGATTGTCCTGTGGTCCCTGTGGCCCAACAGGGAGGACAGAAGGAGGAAGAAGGGACCTAGAGCGAGGCCACTGCACCTCACCCTTAGGAAAATCAAGGCTATCGTGGGTCTAGAGACAGAGCAGCTGAGGGAGGGCCTGTTTCCCACAGTGCTTGCACAGGTGGACACGACAGCCCTTCCTGGGCCTGATCATGGCTGAGGTTGTGTGGTTCAGGGGCCTGGCTGGCAGTAGGGAGGTTTGGGAGCCCTGTGCACACTTGGATGGGGACAATTCTACTGCAGAGAGACAAAGAATGTTTTTTCATGCACCGGGGATGGAAAGCAACTGACACAAAGGTGGAATTCATTTTCCTTCAGGCTGACTGTAAGCTCTCATTAGGCACAGGAGCCAGAGTTTATTTTTAGAACACTGCAGTTGAGTTACGTCTGGGCAATAAGTCCAACCAAGTCTCATCAAGCAGGTGTCCAAGCTCCTGGAGATCAGTCTCTGGGCTTAGAGCCGCTGGAGAACGTAGAAGGATCACATGGACCCAGAGAGAGGACACGGGTGGGATTCAGCAAACTTCTTGGCTGCCATCTCCCACTGCTGCAGCCCTTGCCCACACCCCTCTGCTCCCTCTCTTGTCCCCTTTCTCCACTCCGGATGCCCACAGGGGTGATGTGATGCCGAGTCACATAACCACTTGGATCTCACTTTACCACGATTTCTTCTAAGCAGGATTACAACAGGGCCTGAATAAAGCAGCATATATGAATGGCATTGCCCATGGAGATGCGCAATCATTATTTAGTAGGAAATACAGAAGGAAGAAGCAAGGCTGGGGCTGAAGTGCTCTGGGTACACGGAAAGATAAATCACTCGATGGAAAGTTCATCTGGGGGTAGGATGGAAGGAGGGTGAGTCAGAAGAGATTAGTGAGGAGTGCGATGTTGGAAGGTGCAGCGGTCTCTGTTGTTGTTATTGGAAAGAGATGGAAGACCAAATCTCTAGTGGGTGGCAATTAGAGGAGCTCCCTGGCACTTTCTGAAGCTAGGCTGGTAACCTTTGTTTTCTGCCCGAGATCAATTGTAGTTTATATAACTATATCTTAACAGCAGGCCCCCAGTGGCATGGGTCTTTTACAAAGAAAAAAATTTTTTTTTCTATTGTACCTCCTGTAATTAGTATCATGCATGGGTGAAGGAGAAAAAGGCCTCGGTATCCAACCTGGTCTCTTTTTCTTTTGTAGGACAGATGGACAAATTGCTGGGCAGATGGTGGCAGAGGGAACATCTTGAGGACACATGACAATTAAAGAATATTCTGGAAGCATTTTTCAGAATGTTTCCTGATGTGGTCTTAGTAAGAATGATATACATGAAGTCACGGGTCCTGAGGACACAGGGCAGTCCCATTCTGCTCAGCATCATCTCTTGTGGACTCAACTGTGTCCTTGCCCCATTTGTCAAGGACCTGTCCCCCCCCCAGAATAACTGCACAAGAGGCCTTCTGAAAATTCATGGAAAATAGGCACTAAGAAATAACTTACACAAGGATTTCAAAATGTTTTTTTCCCCAAATAAACTTAGTTTTTCATTCCATTTTTTCATGAAGGACCCTCGTATTTGGAGTCAGGGTCTTTGAGGAGATGGCCAAGGTTGAATGGGGTCCTCCAGGTGGGCTCTAATCTGAAGCACTGGTGTCCATATCAGAGGAGGGAGAGACGAGGGTGTGGTTGAGAAGGCAGGTGTCTACAGCCAGGAAGGGAGGCCCTCCCCGAAGTCAACCCTGCTGCTTCCTCAGGTCTTCATCTGCCCAGCCACAGCGTCACAAAGAGCCCCTCCCCTTGGTCCGTGTTCCTCCAGCATTAATGTCCTGTGGTGGCTGCAACAAATTACCACCCATGCACAAGCTCAAAACAATGCAGTTTTTTCCTCTTGCAGTTTTAGAGGTCGGAAGTAAAGACATGAATCTAAAAGGGTTAACTTGATGATGGGGTGGTCCCTCCTGGAGGTTCTCAGGGGATACTCTGGGTCCCTGCTGTTTTCAGCCTTTTGTGGCCACCTGTGTTCCTTGCCTTATAGTTGTTGCCTCCTCCCTCAAGGCCCGTCTCTTCCCTCCCTGCTGCAACCATCACACTATCTCCTCCTGACTCTGGCTTCTCCTGCCTCCCTCTAAGGAGCATCATGATCACAGCAGATCCACCTGTGGAACCCAGGATCATTCTTTTTTTTTTTTTTTTTTTTGACAGGCAGAGTGGACAGTGAGAGACAGAGAGACAGAAAGAAACCCAGGATCATTCTATCCAGCTCAACCACTTGGTCCCATCTGCTTGGTTTCTTTGTCCACTTATGGTGATATCCAAAGGTTCTGGAGATGAGGAAATGGATATCCGTGGAGTAGGACGTTGTTGAGCCTATCACACTGCTCTTCCCCATACCCACATTCCCAGGCACACTATGGAGACGACTCCTCTGTGAAGCTCACTGGGGTTCATCATGTGTATGTCTACTACTGGTCCTATCCCTCTAGATCTTTGGTCCTATGTTTCTGTGAGTACAAAATACAAAGCAAATCTCCCACAATGCCTACCACAAACCTAGCAGGGATTCAAAAGTAGTGCCAATTGATCGGGAAAATGGTTTTATTCTCCATGCTTCATGCAGGCACAATCAGGAGAAAATATTCTTTGTTGGAGACACATTTTGGAAGGAGGTTTTTGATTTTTCTTGGTGCTCCCTTCTAGAGACTTTACCTACAATGACTGTTGGAAATTCAGTTTTTGGGAGCTTATTGTTTGTGAGCACTAGGAGCGAGAAGATGAGAAACACAGACTCAATTTTTAAGAAAAGTCTTATGTGGACTGACAACTAAAACAGAAATTACAATCATACACAGCAATATAACATGTGCCATTCAGTGCAACATGAAAGTGTGAAACCTCTTGTGGAAAAAACAGGAGAAAGGTGCTGCTAACTGTACTAAAAATTGAAACTTTTTCCTTTCTTTTTCAGTCTCTCCTGACTTGGCATAGCATTTTTATGTGATGTTTAATATCATGCTAAGTTAAGGAAAATGAAAAATCTTCATCTATTGGCATGGTTTTTGTCATCCATCTTTATCTTGTATTATATTAGTTGTAAATTTAAATATGACAGCATTCAACTCATGTGGAATCACTAAAATGACATGATTGTAGTATTATGTTTCACTGGAATGCTGGAAATGCTGCATAAAATTAACTTGATTGTTTCTATTTTACTTCTTGATAGGTGTGCATTCTACTAATGTAGGACCCCAAAAGCGGTGTCCTCTTGTGACGACCCCAGAAACACAGACTCCGGACCAAACGATGCAATAGAACAGGAGGTAATTTATTTCATTTGTACAAATGGGCCCCCTACTGCTGCAAGCAGCAAGCAAGTGAGAGGAGCCCCGAGCAGCTATCTCACACAGCTTTTAAAGGGCAAAACCACAAAATTAACATATTATAGGCTGGCGTAAGTTCATTGGATAATTTTCAGTAGCGGGCCTTTTATGGCAGTCTGAAGTGCTAATGTCGGTGGAAAAGTACTAGGTCAAAGGGATACATTAGGGGAGGGGGTTTCTAGGAGACAGGAGTAGGTTGCTACATGCCTTGTAACTTTCTTAGTTAACCTTGAGCAAGAGGAAGGAAGGGGGGCTTATCTACAAGGCAGGTGTTCTGCGTATCTCCGGTCAGTAGCTGACTGCTTTCTCTGTGAACCGGTTTACTCCCCATTTTCCAAGGCCGTCTCTGGAACAGTTTGTCTCAAGAGCCCCATTTTTTTTCTTTATGGTGGCTCTTGGCTCCTTTCACTAACACTCTCTACCTTAGCTTAGAGTCGAGCAGTGAAGGACTCAAAGTAAAGAAACTGTGGGTTGCCCTAGACTTCCTTTTCTTCTGTGTGATTTTCAGAGCAAATCATTGGCCAGTGCAGGGAAACAGTAAGAGTGGGAAACGAAGATGGGGTGCTTGCTCATCTGTGATCCTTACCACATCATTGCCTTCCTCCTGCGCTCACAGAAAGGTTCTGGTTGGAATGTAAAGTGTGGTCTTGCAGGGCTGTAAGTGCCATGGCTTACTCGGCAGCAAGTGTCACAAGCTGATCTTGTACTCATTTTGAGTCTTGCGTTGTGGGCCCTCCGAAATGCAATGCTCTTGGTCATTGCAAATGGGATAGTAAGAAACGGCTGACACACATTGTCTTAGTTTGGGCTTCTGTAACTA